TCAGAACTTTGCTATATCCCTAGAGATTTGACCGGTTTCTCTTGGCAGGTAAGATGCTTGGAACAGAAAGGGTGCATGTGTCTAATATGTTGAAATTCCTTCCATTGTCTTCACTATATAAGAGTTTGCTAACATTTCAAATTACAGATTATCTTTCAGTACATCATAATTGCAACAAAAGCTAGCATTATAGCTCTTCACATCACCTAAACCAGAATTATTTCATAAGACCCTAATGTCACTATGAAAGTGCACAAATTGCTCAGATAGAACACTGTGAATAAAATAATGTTCTTGCCAACTCAGCAGTCAGAGGGATACAGCAATTTGTCTTAGTTTTCTTGGAGTCAGTTTGCAATTTTTACTTAAAAAAAAAAAAAAACAAAAAACCAAAACCACAAAAATCACCCCAAATCCAGATCCTCACTGAGATCTGAACAAAAAAAAACCATGCTTCCTTAACAGTATCTAAGTCATCCTTCAGATAAAACAGATCTCTCATCATCTGTGTTGTAAAGGAAAAATCATCCTAAGATAAAACTGAGACTCCTTAAGATAGTGAGTCATACTTTTAGTTAGCTTCCAAAGGAACACAGTAGTATTGCTTCCCTGTAGGTAAACCTAGGAGCATGTAAATTCATGCTGGAAAAACTTGCTCTACAGATTGCTCGTGACTTGACCTCTTAAAGTAACAAATAGGAATCCTTTGTATAAATGGAATTTCACACCAGCTTACTTTCTACATACTGTGAAGGTAGATCGCAAACACTTTGGTATTTTTATATCTTATGATACCTGATATGTAAACTAGTTTCAAATTAGCAAATCTTTGGTATATTATGATCTTTTCAGGTGGTTCAAAACCAGAAGTGGTGTGTGGATCTCCTTCTTTACCCAGTGCTGCCAAATATCCTGGTAGATTAAATCAGGTAAACACCAAGTGTCTCTTTTCTTTGATCTTTTTACCTTTAAATGTTCTAAAGTCCATGTAAAGTAATTAAAAATAGCTTTACTTAAACTTTTGAGAAGAACCTTTTATTTTTTTATTGTGGAATGACATAATTCAATTGTGTTTGTTCATCAATGTGTGTATATTGTTTATAGGGAGTGCTTATACACGAAGAAAGAAAGAAACAAAAAGGAAAAATATTTTTGAGTCCCCAGTCAGGTTTGTATATCTTCATTTCAGAAATTCTGCATAAAAGCATGTATTTTTAACTTGCTTTTTCCATCAGTCCTTACGGGAAGTCTGCCTGATTTGCTGAACACAGCAGCAATCTGGACAGGTTGCTAGATAATTCTGAAGTGAAGCCATATTATTTTTACTGGAAAAGTGTGCAATTTTTCAGTTTTGTTTTGGAAATAAAACTTAGGCACGGCAGTTCTGTGCATTTTTTCTTTAACTCCAGTAGACTTATTTTGCAGAAGGATGTCATGGGTTTTTATCAATATCTCTCCTGTTTTGGCATATGTGGGGTTCTGTGTTTCTCCAGTCACAAGGGGAGTGCTTTCTTGTGAGGCTTCCTCAGAGTCATTGTCTAGAATTCCACATCATCAACTAACTTAGGAGAGACTATCAGAGCACATCCTTGGTCTGAGCTGCCAAAATGCAAGAAAGTTAAAATTACACTTACAAGTAGCAGTCAGATGATAATATAAAGGCTTTAATGTACTCTCTCTGGGTCAGAGATGTTTTGTGTTAGATGCATGGTTACCAATGCAGCTTCCTTAAAGTATTTTCACACACTTACTAACAGGTACAGTGAAGATTTTGAAAGTGACTGCTTTTTTTAATTACTTCGAGTTTTTGGTGCAACTTTGCAAATCTTTTAGCAGCTTGATTTTTTTCAATGAAATATATAAATCTCTTTTGCGTCATCAAAAGGGGAGGACCTAAGTAGTGTTTACAAATTTTGGAAGACTAAACTGCAATTAAGTATCTGAAACTAAATTCTCAGTTTTGTTTGGAAGACCCAGTATTTTCTATTTTCACTGCAAGGCTTTTTCAAATCTGAGCTTGGGGACTTTAAACGCAAAGTGATTTGTCATTGAGTGTTTAGTTGAAGAAAATGCTAGTTTTCAATTTTGTTTTTTAATATTTCCTACTGTCCTGCAGCAGGTAATGATCTAAAGTTGATCTGTGTATGCTTTCATAATAGTTTGACTTAACAGTAATTTTCTCCTGTCTGATTGTTTCAGTTGTTTTATTTCTTGTCTTTTTTTTTCTTTTTGTTTTCCTTTTTTTTAAAAAACCCCACCTTTAAAGTGTGATGCTTTCTTCCTCCCAATCTTAGGCAGCCTTTCCAATAAATACATGACTCAGGGAAAAGCCTCACAGAAGAGGACCCAACAAGAATCATGAGGGATATTAAGCACTGTTAAATTGCAATACAGGCCCTTCATTAATTTAAAAAATTTTCTTTGGCTAAAGCATCTGGATTCACAGGACAGCAGCAGAGACAACCTTCAACTTAAGTTTAATGAAATATGGGTGTTTTATTTTAGATTGCTAGTACAAGCAACTGTGGATTTTTAATACAGACCCCTGCTCCTAAATAGATTGAGTATTTTAATAGAAAGCCATGATGTTTTGTATGTTTCCTAGATAAATCACATAGAAAAGGGCAGATACTAAAAATGGAGCATTTTCAAGTTTTTGTCATTCCACCTGACCATTTTAAAATGCACTAAAATTGTGTGCAAGCCAAATACATTATATTTTCTTCAAAAATTGATTTTTTGAAGGAGAAAATAATATTTATTAATGTTGATTGTTTACTGAATCCTTGTGTAAAAGTGTTTGAAATGTTTGTAGACTGCTACATTATTTTTTTCCTGTAGACAACTGAAAACATAGACACTAGTAAACATACATAAAACAATCTCTGGACAAGCAGTGCCATTAAGATTTCTTGGATTTTTTTCTGTTCTGTGATTTTATGGGAATTCATTTGCTGCTGTGCTTGTGTACAAGAAGAAAGAAAGACTAAGAAACAGGTCAGTCCTGTTTGATGCTGCTAAGAATCTTTTTCAAGTTCTTGGGGATACAGACAAAAATGCTTTAAAGAATAGAGGTATTATATTTGGCAACTGGGCAAAATACATGTCCGTTTTACATAAAATGTGAAGAGGATCCTTGTACCAGCCAAGAATTTAATTAGTAGTATGAACTTGAGCTTTACTTGAAGTCCTTCCAGAGCTGGTAATGTACCGTCTTATCTTGTTCAGGAGAGAATTAGTTACATGGTAAAATTGAAACCACTGTTATTTATGACTTTGAAATAAATTTTAAAAGAAAAATTAAAAATCAGACTTAAGTTTCTGTATTTCTTCTTATATTGTAGTTTTCAATATTCCTGACTTAAATGTAGAATTAATGATAATTTATTAGAATTACCTGGTTTTAGACATGTCATGTTTAATTTTTCTCCTTAGCCATCTATTTTTATTAAAACTGAAATCTGGAATTGCCAAAATGGTCTTAGGGAACTGGGATACTAACTCCTGTTTTGGTTTTCACCCATCTGTAGCAAGCTATGTGTGAACTTACAGATGCGCAACTTTTGCAAATAATTTCTTTTGTATTCTTTCCTCAACATATTTTCAAGCAAAATATTAACCAGCAACAAATGGGAAATAATTTCAACTTTGTCATCTGTATATTTCATCCCATGAAATTAAGTCAGTTTTTCCCTCAAAAATAAATTAATTCCCGTAGTTTTTCATGTGTATCCCCAAAAAAAGAAAGGCTGACATGCCCTCTGTATGTCTTATTCATCCCTCAATTCAGAGTTACTTTCAGTTTTGCTGATGGGAATGAAGTATGTAAGCCTTTAAGGGACTATGGCATAATCTGAAAGATAGAAATTAGTTTAAAAAAAAATATATCAGATTTATGCATATTCACCCTCTTCCGTTTGTGATACTTTGTAGTTTAGCAGTGAAGTTTTCAAACTGTAAAATTTCTGAACTCGCATCTGAATGAAAACTCGTTCTGCAGATCCACCAGTCTTCTCACTTTGAAGTTGCTGCTTCCTTATGCAACTACAAATTCTATATAGGTACTAATCTCATAGCCTTAAAATAAACCCCCCAAATTTGGGTTATATGTTGCAAGCATTTGAACCAGTAACTAAGAAATCCTTTGCTTAAAGAGTAGTTAAAGAGCAGAGTCATAACTTACAGAATGTTATGTGACACAGAATAAACATAAGTGAGGCGGCATGCATATCTGCTGGATTAAGTTGTTCTAAAATGCAGGAAATTGATTGAAAATTAAACTTGAAGAAAAGGAAGTTCTTCGTAACAATTCTTGATATCCAAGATCCTGCTAGCTTTATGGGAGTATATTCTCAAGGGAGCAATTTTCCACATACAAAGAAAAACTCTGAAAGGACACACCACATTAATAAAATATTTTCTAGAAAAGAACGGTTTCAAAAGTAATAGTAATAAACTAAAATAATGGTTTACAACTAAACTCATACTAATAAAATGTAAAAATAAATACTAAAAAACAAATAGTTAAAAGACTTCTTCTGAACCACCTGTATACTCACTCAGTCCCTGTAATGATACAGAGGGACCCCACGTTGGTAGCACTGTTTATTTGTGCTGCGTTTTTATTAAAAAAAAAAAGTGCTATTGACATATTTCACAGGAATTTCACATGCATTTGATGTCCCTATTTCCAAAGTTGGAAAATATCTTGTGCTATGAGTAGATAGTTATCAGTGCTGAAAAAAAGCATGAAATTCTGTTTCAGGTATGCAGTACAGTTAACTGTCTGTCTTAAACAGGCAGTTTAATCTCAGCTATATAACTACTAGATTAACACACGTCCATCTTTATTTAATTGTTCTGGTGAGATTTGTTTCATAGCTATACTTAAAACCAGTTTCTCATCCATTAAAAATTTTATTTAAATGTATTTAATACACAAGGATTTCTTTTATAAACCTCATCACATTTTTATAAGAACTGCAGAAGCCACATCAAAAATGGTCATCGCTAGTAACTTTTTGGGACCTGAAATAGCTGCTTACAATGGGAGCTTGTTAGGGAAGAAAATACTGTTTTCCTATACTGATAAAGTTATCAATAAGGTTTGTTGTTATTCACTTGCGCTATGTAGATGTTAATACTGACTTTTGCTTTCGTCTTCTTTTGGTGATGTTCTGAATGTGAAAAGCAGCTTACAAAAAGGCTGCTGTTCTAGCCCATGCTCAGTCTTTCATGCTGAAGTTCATTCAGCAGAGAGGTGACTAAAGAGTGGTGATTGGAAGCATCCTAAGGAAGTACAAGAAGGTGAAGCTCTTCAAGCCTGCATGGTAGACGGTGAATGATGAAGACAGTATTAGTTGCACCCCTACACAAGCTTTCCCCCTCCAACCATATGCGTTACTGACTTAAGTTTCTGGCTGATAGTGCATTTAAGCCCCACCCACCCCTAAGCAGGTGTGTTTTAGCTGAGGATGTGTGCCCACATTGCACGAATTGTGTGTGAAAGACATGTTTTGTGTAGCTAAAAAAATACAACTATTTTTATACGCTTGCCATCTTTCTATTTGAGGTAGGAGTGCTGTGCTTCATTAAAGAGTAGTGGCATAATTACGTATGTGAAAAACATCTGCACATTTACTATCAAGCTCGTCAAAATGATGATCAGGCCCAGAATCAGGTACCCGAAGTAGATGGGGTGATGAGATCCAGACATGCTGCTTGTGCTTGGACTTCGTAAATACAGGTTTATTGTCTAGCATATTTACGAATGCTGTCAAGAGGAAAAAAAAAACGGCTCCTTGTTTTTCTTCTGGCATAGCCAGCCTTTGATTTAAATCAATGGGATTAAGTCTTCCCGGTGCCAGGTCTGTCGGGGTTTCTCAGCAGCACCCATAGCCGCCCCGGCAGCCCTTCGGCAATGCCACTGCAGTCCTCCCAGCAGCTTCCAAGCCGCCCGCCCACCACCAC